TCTTGTTTGATGAAACCAGGAGAACATGCAGTTTAAGCCTCAGCTTAAAGTTTTTATATTATAATTTCTATATGATTTGTATTTGTATGAGTATTGTTGAAAAGAGACATTTTGTTGAAGCTTTTTGATGTGCAATCATTAGGACTTTTGCAAGATTGCTAGTATAAAGGTAGACAACAATTTATATAGTTTGAGCAGACAGCTGCGTAGCTTTTGCAAATATTATATTAAAGAAAATGTCGTTGCACTTTTACAGTGTACAGGAAACAAAAAAAAATTTAAGGCTCTAACCACCTTCATGGTACTGAGGCATTTTCAAGTTTAATTACTGAAAGACCTTTTACAATGCTTTGTTAATTACCCTGATACTTAAAGAATTATATGTTTTGAGGTTATGTGAAGGCATAATCTGTTGCAAGACATTTTGAAGGAAATAATGTTTTTATAAATATTTTTGGTTTATCATTAAACAGAAGCTTTTATTTTCAAATTTTAGTGAATGGTTTACACTGACGATCCAGAACAGAGGTGGAAATCCCCAGGATTATCATTAGGCATGAAAAAGGATGTTAAAATTAATTTCTTGCAAAATGCTATTGTGATTGACTTGGCTACAATAGCCATTTATTATGCAGCAATCAGAGCAATATTAAAGTGTATGGAGAAAAGAACAAGAGAATGGAATTATAACTCTGGTGAAGGCACTAGATTTGTACAGTTATAATGGTCCAAATGGCTGCTTTCTGTACTGAGAATTTTCAGCTGCAAACCAATGTAATTTTAGACGGGCGCACGATAGAGGCATATTTTTTTCATGCTGGCCAAGCTATCAGAAAGGTTGGCCACATATTTGATTAAGTTGTGAATTTTGTGTGCTTACCTGACCGTGTCAATTAGTTTTCTTTCAAATGTTCCAGAGCTGATGGTAAATGTTTCGGTGAATAGTTGAAATCTAAGCAGGACTTTTGCATGAACTGCACCATCATGTGCAGTAGAAGGAAATTTTTGTCTACCTACCCGATTTATACTTTTAAATGTTGTTTCGACCTGATGATAGAAGATAATATAGTTATCCAACTGTAACAGAATTATAACAAGTTGAAAGCAGAGAAAACTTTGCATTTATTTGCACTTCCATACTTAAGCTGTTCTCAGCCATGTTTCCAAGTTTTCATTTAATGCATTTTATAACTCTAATTTTTTTTAACTCTATCCATAAGATTGTAGTTCACGTGTGGAATATCCACTATAAGGAGCACACTGTGGTAATCCCACACATGCAGTAGTCTTGAGTCTCTAATCTTTTTTGCACAGCACTGTACAATTTTTTTTTCAACTTTCCAAGTCTAGAATCATAGAATCCTTACAATGCTGAAAGAAGCCATTTAGCCCATCAAGTCTGCACTGACCCCCCCAAAAAGCATTCCAACCAGACCCAGCCCCCCCACACTGTCCCTGTAACACCACGTTTACCATTGCTGGTCCACCTAGGCTGCACAACCCTGGACACTATGGGCAATTTAACATGGCCAATCCACCTAACCTCCACATCTTTAGACTGGCAAACATTGGTTTGAATGTGCAACTCCACACAGACAGTTGACCAAGGCTGGAATCGAACCTAGGTCCCAGACACTGTGATGCAGCAGTGCTAATCACTGAGCCAACATGCTGCCCTAGTTTTCTGCTCTCCTGAAGGTGTTTGACTTGTATGTGTTAGGATTCAGGGGAAGTACAATCAGGTGATGTATGTCATAGAATCCCTACAGTGTGGAAACAGGCCCTTTGGCCCAACAAGTCCACACCAACCCTCAGAGCATGCCACCCAGACCCATCCACCTTTAACCCCCCTAATCTAGGCATCCCTGAACACTATTGGCAATTTAGCACGGCTAATCCACCGAGCCTGCACATCTTTGGACAATGGAGGAAACCGGAGCATTCAGAGGAAACCCATGTAGACACGGGGAGAATGTGCAAACTCCACACAGACAGTCACCCGAGGGTGGAATCGAACCCAGGTCCCTGGTGCTGTGAGGCAGCAGTGCTAACCACTGACCCGCCGTGCTGCCCCAATGTCCCAATGAGTGGTTGACCATATCAAACAGCACATCAGATTGACTATTCACAGTAACTCATACCAGTTGTGTCAACCAGCCTGTACTTGGCAAGCCTCAGTTTAAGTATAACCACCATTAAATGTGATACTGCTATTGGAAATCGTTTATTAACCAATCCATACTGTGCAATGAATTACTGCAGAAACCAATTTAGATTGTAGTGTGGTCAGAATCTGAAAAGCCAGAAGTTTTACATAGGCAAAGGTAATTTGCACACATTATACCATTTACAAACAAAAAGGTCATGGAGACAGCTAATTTGCCGGTGTATCCCCATGGCAATACCTGATCAATCAGAATCTACTTATCTGAGAATTAAAATTGACAATTAACTTTTTGGTGTATCTGCATTCCAATGATGCATCACCAAATCAACACCCTCTCTACTCACGTTGTATAAAACGGTGTCCCTTTCTTTAAACCTGTCTCTGCGATCCCAAATCTAAGTGCAAGATGAAAAGCTTCTTGTCTCCTTTAAAGCTATGCTTATGTTTTGTACTTCCAAACAATTATAAAGAAACTAAAATTTTGTAAAGCAGTGGCATGAGATAGCTAGACCTAACCAAGCCAACTGTATGTGTAATTATATCGAAAACTGAAAAAGTTTAATACCCATTGAGAAGACATTGACCATGTAATAAGAAATTCACGAAATATATTTCAGATTTTAAATGCACCATCAAACTAACTGGGTTAAGATTTGAATTTGTTTAATGTTAAATTGTTAAGGTAAATTAAGATTTTTACAGAAGTGTGGTCTGGGATTTTGCTGTTGAAAAACCTCATGCACAAATCACACTGAATCAAGAGTTTAACAAACGAAATATATTGCAGAAAGAAGTCACATTCTGTTGAAGCTTTTAGTCTTGCACCTATACGACCAATTTGTGATAATCCCAATTTGAAGGGAATGTCAACATTCTCACAAGAGGGGTGTTGATCAGTAATAAAAACTGAAAGAACTGCAGATGCTGTAAATCAGGAACAAAAACAGAGATTACTAGAAAAGCTCAGCAGGTCTGGCAGCATCTGTGAAGAAAAAAAATCAGAGCTAACGTTTCTGGTCTGGTGACCTTTCCTCAGAACACTGAAGGGTCACCAGACCCGAAACGTTAACGTTTTTTTTCCTTCACTGGTGTTGATTGGTGGTAGGTAGGCTTTGGTGTTGCCATGGAGAATGCATCAGTTCATGCTGATTAACTGTTAACTGCCAAGTCAAACGTCATTAGCACATAATCAGCTCCATGTAAATGGTGAGTTCAATTTTATTTACATGTGTGTGTAAAAACAAAGAATGAAGTTCTGTGAAATCCAAATTTTCACTGGAGATATTATTGCTGTTGTGGCTTTCCTTCGACAGAGATCCATAAATGCTGCCAAACCAGAGTATATTCAGAATTTTGACCCTTTTTCAAGAACCTTTCTCTGGGAGATTTCTAGTGCCTATTCTTAGTGATGACAACAAGTCTCAATCTTTTACAGTAGATTAATACTTAACACACTTGTTCATTGTCATTCATATTCATAAGTATTTTTGGTATAAAATGGCACACGTTACTGTGGAGCATCTAGAGCTATTATTTTTCATTGGTTGTTAATGTGAAGAAAGAGAGATGTACCTTACATGTACTTGTGTGTCTTGATTACTAAGCAATAATGAAGACCAGAGCAGGTAGAACAGTAGTGTGGCAGCTTCCACAGAGTGTAAAACCTTCTACACCTAAAACCTTGTGGCTCTCTCTTCTTCCATTTCCACACCCCCACACCCCAAGCGTGACACACACACACATCTGTCATTTGTCCCCTGGTGGTATTATCACTGGACTGTTAATCCAGGGGCCAAGATAATGTTTCAGGGACCCAGGTGTGATTCCCACCGCGGAAGATGGTGGAATTTGAATTCAATAAAAGGAAATCTAGAATTAAGAGTCTAATGATGACCACAAATCCATTGCCATTTGTTAGAAAAACCCATCTGGTTCACTAATGTCCTTTAGGGAAGCAAACTGCTGTCTTTACTTGGTGTGACCTACGTGTGACTCCAGACCCACAACAATGTGGGCAATTAGGAATGGGCAATAGATGCTAGCCTAGCTATCGATGCCCTCATCCCATGAATGAATAAAGCAACATTATAGACTTTGTCAGTTTTGTTGAATGCAGTCTAAACTCAAGCTGGTGAAACTGATGCTTTGGCTGCTGTCTCACAACACACTGAGAAACAAATCAACTTGGGTGTTAAGCAAGTAGAGATGCTGTTCCATACACACTTTTTTCAGATGATATTAAAATTCTTCCTCCATCTAGTTGCCTGAACCCATGTACTGTCACCTTAAGCCCTATTCCCTCAGCTCTTTACTGGCCCTCAGCGGAGGGTAGCATGTTTCTTTGACATGCTTTAACATGCTTTGACATGGTTCAACTGAGGAGGTATCTGGATTCATTCATTAAGAGTTGAGGTTTCACAGAAGTATAACCTGGTCGTCTGCCACACCTGTTATTGCACTGTTACCTTCCTGCAGTCTAACAATCATAAGTTAATGCAACTCAGCTTGAAAACTGAATGAGGATGTACCCTGAGAAATTAATTATGACCAGTTAATTCTGTTTCTTTTTAAAATTGACAGGGAATTATGTGATGATTTAAGGTGTGAAGGTACATTTGAGATCTGTTAAGAAGGGATCAAGCTGGTTCAGTTCAATTACAATTTTGTTCCTATTTACAACACTATTTCTTTCAAAATATTTGCATCTACTTAATTGATATAGTTCCCCCTCCTCACCCCCACTGTTTTTTCCTTTGCCCCTTGTCACACTGGTAGAGGAAGACTAAGCTCTGTTTATTTTTTAAAATTTTAATTGCGCGTTTTTTTAAAACAGCTGTTTTGGGAGAAACGACTGCAGGGTTTGAGTGCCTGTGACATAGCCGAGCAAATCATTAAATCAATGGAACTTCCCAAAGGATTGCAAGGTATGTTTTGTTGATAATGTGGTAATCAAATAAGTAAACCAATGCATATTGCTTTTCATGGATACTTTCAGATCATAGGATAACACTTTTTTTAAAATGGATTTTTACAGCCTTTACAATCTCTTGGCTGCTGGCTGCAATACATTCCCAGTTGTGTCTTTTGCAGATTTGGTTTTAAACCTGTAAAATGGCAACATGCCTGCAAATGTCTATTAAACGTGATTTTAGGCATCAATAAGTTGAGTTCTTTTAAATTCTAAACAAACTTGACAGGGAATTCTTCTTGGGCACTGGATTTATAAAATTGCACTGTGGTGGAAACTATTTTCTGCTTAGTTGGCAGTAAATTGTTTTACTTGTTCTATATCTTCAAAAGTAGTTAATCTGAGTATATATTTTTATAGGTACAGACAACCTGGGCAAGGTAGTGGCAATTATAGGCAGAAAACATCATAGTAAATCTGATCCCCTGTTCAAGGGTTAGAAATTGCTGATGGGAGTAGTTTATAGATCCCCTGACAATGGCATAACACTGAACAGAACATTAAGCAAGAAATAATTGGAGTTTACAACAAATGTGTTATATATCAAATAACAATGTAATAGCTGTGGAAGAACTTTAATCTTCATAGAGGGTGGACCAATCAATGGTCAAGGTTGGTCCGATGAGTTTGTAGATATTTTCTTGACAATTTTCTGGAATAATTCATTGTGGAACCAACTAGAGATAAGCATTCTGCAATGAAGCAGGATTAATCAATTATTTGACAAAAGTGATCACAATACGGTTGAATTCTCTATTAGGTTTGTACTCTAATCCCAAACAAGAGTTAAAAACTTAAAACCAAATACTTAGGCTAAGATTAGTAGTTAGTTTAAATGGTATGGCAGTGAGTAAGCCTTGAGATTCATTGTTCAACATAAAATAGATTCCACTGAAAAACTAAAACTTAACAAGAGAGATCCATTCGTGACTTACTAAAAAAGTTGAGGGTAGTTTTGGATTAAAAGAAGAGGTTTCTAATGTGATAAGGAATTGCCATAACCTGAAAATTGTCATTTTAGAAACCAGCGAAAGGCTGCCAAAAAGTTTATAAACAGGGAAGAAATAGACTGAACGGAAACTATTTAGGAAAATGAAATCCGATTATAGAAAGCTTTTATGAACATATACAAAGGAGAGTAGCTAAACATTTATTCCTTAAAAGCAGAAATAGGAGATATCCTGATAGGTAATTAGAAAATGGAAGAAACATTGAATAGCTATTTTGTGTATGTTTTCCAAGTAGAAGATGCAAATTACATCCAAAGAGGCTGACAAGTATGTGTAACCTAAGGTATTAGAAGATGTATTAGAGAAACACAAAAGACCAAATCTCTCATCTCCATGAACCTAGGTTTCTAAATGAGGTACTGTATGTGCTATGTGATTTTCTAAAATGGTCTCAGAAATTTGTAAGATAGCAAATATAACGCCGCTATTCGAGAAAGGAAGGAAGGGGAAAATGGGATGGCAGTCCAGTTAACTTACATCATTGAAAAAATGTGAAATTTATTGGGGAAGTATTAACAATGTGCTTAGAAAAGCACATTATGATCAGACAAAGGGGTTTTACAAATTAATTCGACATTTTTGTGGGCGTCACTAGTAGGGTATATAAAAGGGAGCCTGTAGATATAATATGCTTGAGACTAGGTATTTGATTAGTTGCTACCCAAAATTTAAATACCCAAGACAAGGCCTCATGATATTGGGATAACTTACTGGCATGGGGAGGATTATTTGTTGGGGTCAGGACAAAATCGGGTTTGAATTATTGTTGTCACATATACTGAGATACAGTGAAAAGTGTTCTTTTGTATGCTATACTGGCATATTGTACCATACAAAGAGCATCAGGGTAGCAGAACAGAGTGCAGAATGCAGTGTTATAGCCCCAGAGAGAGAGTTAACATTTGAGAGGTCAATTCAAAAGTCTGAAGAGTGGGGAAGAAACTATTCTTGAATCTGTTCATCTGTGTATTCAAACTGTTATACCTTCTGCCAATTGGGAAGCAAGGAAGGGGGACAACTGAAGTATTTTCCTGTTGGCAGTCTATAACTAGTGGTGTGCCACATCAAACAGTACAGGAACCTCAGCTGTTTACAATGGGCTCAAATCCTACCTGTTCTAGAGGTGTATAATAACATCTCTTAACAGGTTGATCAGGAAAATATGTAGATGGAGAAATGGAGGGATCTTGTGATGCAATGGTAGTGTCCCTACCTCTGGGCCAGGTTTCAAGTGTCACCTTCCTCCTGATGTGTCACTACATGTCTGAAGTGGTTGATTAAAAGCATCTAGGTGGGAGTGTAAACTGTAAAATGTACACACAGGTATTGATATCTTAAATGAGCAGCAAAGTGGCAGTATAGTTTAAGGAATTTAGTTCATTCAGCTCGATTAGCAAAAAATTAAAAAAAATTTTTTTAACACCATTTAGAAATCTTGATGGACTTGTGTGTACTCTTGGAACGCACGTAGAAATGTTAGCATGTGTATGCTCCAAACAGTTAAGGTGACACTACCTTATATTGGCCTTGTGGTGCAGGAGCTAGGTAGGGGCAGTTTTGGGGGAGCTGTCTGTGTGCTGGGAGTTAGGGTTGGGGGGAAGGCAAGTCTAAAACAGCGACACATCTCAGAGTAAGGTGACAGTCATTTGGGATCGTGATAAGAAATTTCTCTTGAAGTGTTGTGAATCTTTGCAATTGTTTATTCCAGCAAGTTGTGGATGCACAGATTTTTGACAAATGAAATAGAGGAATAGGAAGAATGGGTGGTATGAGGAATTGAGACTAAATATCAGCCATAATCTTATTGAATAATTTATTGGAATAGGATTGAGGGGCCATACAATATACTCCTGCTTCTGAGATAGTAGAACTGCCAATGCTGGAGAATCTGATATAACAAGGTGTAGAGCTGGATGAACACAGCAGGCCAAGCAGCATCAGAGGAGCAGGAAAGCTGACGTTTCGGGTCTATGGGTACCCGCATGGGCCCAAGCTATGCCTGCCTCTTTGTAGGATATGTGGAACAATCCCTCTTCCGAAGCTACACTGGCCTTATCCCCCACCCCTGCCTCCATTACATCGATGACTATATCAGCGCCGCCTCGTGCTCCCACGAGGAGCTCGAACAGTTCATCCACTTCACTAACACCTTCCACCCCAACCTTAAGTTCACCCGGACCATCTCCGATACCTCCCTCTCCTTCCTGGACCTCTCTGTTTCAATCTCTGGCAACCACCTGGAAACCGATATCCATTTCAAACCTAATGACTCCCACAGCTACCTAGAATACACCTCCTGTCACCCACCTTCCTGCAAAAATGCCATCCCCGATTCCCAATTCCTTCGCCTTCACTGCATCTGCTCCCGAGATGAGACATTCCACTCCCGGACATCCCGGATGTCCTCGCTTTTCAAGGACCACAGCTTCCCCTCCACAGTGGTCAAAAACGCCCTTGACCATGTCTCTCGCATTTCCCACAACTCATCCCTCACACCCCCTCCCCGCAATAACAACCAAAACAGAATCCCCCTTGTCCTCACGTACCATTCCACCAACCTCCGGATCCAACGCATCATCCTCTGGCACTTCCGCCATCTGCAATCTGACCCCACTACCAAAGACATTTTTCCCTCCCCACCCTTATCTACTTTCCAGAGGGACCACTCTCTCCATGACTCCCTTGTCCGCTCCACACTCCCCACCAGCCCCACCACCCCTGGCAGTTTTCCCTGCAACCGCAGGAAGTGTTATACCTGCCCCTACACCTACCCCCTCACCCCCATCCCAGGCCCCAAGAAGACCTTCCACATCAAACAGATGTTCATCTGCAAATGTGGTATACTGTATCTGCTGTTCCCGATGTGGCTTCCTCTACATCGGGGAAACCAAGCGGAGGCTTGGGGACCGCTTTGTGGAACACCTATGCTCGGTTCGCGACAAATGTCTGCACCTCCCAGTCGCGAACCATTTCAACTCCCCCTCCCACTCCTTGGACAACATGTCCATCCTGGGCCTCCTGCAGTTCCACAACGATGCCACCCTAAGGTTGCAGGAACAGCATCTCCTATTTTGCTTGGGAACCCTGCAGCCCAATGGTATCAATGTGGATTTCACAAGCTTCAAAATCTCCCCTCCTCCAACCGCATCCCAAAACCAGCCCAGCTCGTCCCCGCCTCCCTAACCTGTCCTTCCTCCCACCTATCCACTCCTCCCACCTCAACCCCCACACACATCTCCTACCTACCAGCCTCCTCCCGCCTCCTTGACCTGTCCGTCCTCCCTGGACTGCCCTATCCCCTCCCTAACTCCCCACCTACACTCACCTTTACTAGCTCCAACCCTGCCTCTTTGACCTGTCTGTTTCCTCTCCACCTATCTTCTCCTTTATCCATCTTCTACCGCCTCCCCCTCTCTCCCTATTTATTTCAGAATCCCCTTCCCCTCCCCCATGTCTGAAGAAGGGTCTAGGCCCGAAACGTTAGCTTTCCTGCTCCTCTGATGCTGCTTGGCCTGTGTGTTCATCCAGCTCTACACCACCTTGTTATATCAGATACTCCTGCTTCTGTTTTTTTTGTGCTTTTGCTGCCTTTCACAACATCAGCTTAAATGAGAACAGTCAGAGCATTATATGGTGTCCACTCAAGAAATTTTACAGTCACCCCTCTTGGCTCACATCCCTGTATCCCAACTAGTCCTCCAATAAACTGAACAACTGATTTAAGCACCCCATTTACTATTTTAAACATGTAAATACTGAGTGATCTCAACTGTCCAACCATGTCACGTGTCTAACATTGCATGAGCAGGGTAGCTAACAGAGATATCTGATTCCTGTGTACCAGTCAGCCAAATAATATTAAAAGCTAAAGTTGAATTATCATACAAAAGTCAAATAAATATTATGTTCTGCATAATAAATTAAAATATTTTCAGCCAGCCTTTCCCTGCAACAACACCTTCCCCCACACCGTCATCTCTTCCATTCTCTTCCTGCACGAGTGAAATAAATGTCAAATTTTTCAAGAGGAATAGCACAAAGCCATTCAACTGCATTATGGGAACCATCTTGCAGGAAAATTATGATGGTATTGGTGTTAAATATTAATGTGTGCATTAAAGAAAATTGACTGTCATAGCATCTAAGTTACTGGTAGGCAAGGGTGAGAAATTAATTTCCGTATTATAACAATAATATCTATCTTTTTTTTTAATCGAGGTATTGGTCCTGGTCATACAAATGAGGCGCTATTGTCAGCAATAGCAAGTGCTTTGCATACCAGTTCTGGACCCATTACAGGGCAAGTGTCTGCAGCTGTAGAAAAGAACCCAGCGGTTTGGCTTAACACTTACCAACCACTCTGCAGAGCGTTTGTTGTCACAGATAAGGATATCAGGTGAGAGAGTCAACACATCAGACTTCTTTTACAACAGCAAGAACATTTCATTTTCGACATGTCCCATTCAGTTTGACAATTTCATTAGGCAAGAGTAAAATTTAAGTTAATTCATGGAATGCTTAAATGTAGTGGGACACAAAGTTTCTATAACACTGACAAATATTTCAAACCATGTTTCTCCTTCACCTCCCTCCACTCTGAAATATCATTCAACAGGCATTTCATATATCTGGCTATTCTCACATATTAGCCTTCATATTGAGTATTGGTAGGTTGTTCAGTAGTGAAGGATATCATATCCAACTAATCATTTCTGTTCAGATTTTTGATTGTGATATAAGCAGTCAATTATACATTTAGTTATAGTTGCTGTTTCATATGAGTATGTGTTTTGAGTTTGATTTATTGTTACACGTGCCATGATACAGTAAAAAGTATTATTTTGCAAGCTAAACTGGCAGATCGTACCATACAAAGTGCATCAGGGTAACAGAATAGAGCGCAGAATACAGTGTTACAACCATGGAGAGAGTGCAGAGGGGGAGAGAGATAGATCAAAATTAACAGTTGAGAGGTCCATTCAAAAGTTTGATAACTGGGAAGAAGCTGTTCTTGAATCTGTTCATATGTGTATTCAAAATTTTATATCTTCTGCCTATTGGAAAAGGTTGGAAGAGAGCATAACCAGGGTGGGAGCAGTCTTTGATTATATTGACTCTTTTCCGGAGCAGCAGGAAGTATAAATGGAGTCGATGGATGAAGGCTGGTTTGTGTGATGGACTGGGCTATGTTCATGATTCTCTGTGGTTTTTTGCGGTCTTGGGAAGATCACTTGCAAGACCATGCTGTGATGCATCCAGATAGGATGCTTTCTATGGTGCATCTATAAAAATTGGTAAGAGTCCTTGTGGACATCCGAATTTCCTTAGCTTCCTGTGTTAGTAGAGGCATTGTTGTGCTTTCTTGACTATTAGTTGATGTGGATGGACCAGGACAGATTGGTGATTTAATGATTTGATTTTACTGTCATGTATGTTTTTCTTGAAAATACAGTAAAATACGGTGAAAAGCTTCCATCTTGCCATGATTCCGGTGCCATGTTGATCATCACTCCCAGGAACGTGACACTTTCAACCAACTCCACCTCAGCATCATTGATTAAGATAGGGGCATACTCTCCACTCCACTTCCTGAAGTCACTGGCCAGCTCCTTCATTTTGCTGACGTTGAGGGAGAGATTGTTGTTCTTACACTATGCCGCTGAGCACTCCGTCTGTTTCTTGTCTTCTGTCTCATTGTTGTTTGAGATCTGACCACAACGTCAATGTCATCAGCAAACTTATAAATTGTGTTGGGGTGGAATTTGGCCACCAGTCGTGAGTGTATAAAGAGTATAGTAGGCTGTTGAGTACGCAGCCTTGCGGGGCACTGGTGTTGAGGAGTATGGTGGAGGAGGTGTTGCCCCCTGTTCTTACTGATTGTGGTCTATGGGTCAAGAAGTTGAGGATCCATTTACAGATGGGGGCAGCTGAGACCTAGATCTCCAAGTCTAGAGATGAGTTTGTTTGGAATTAGTGTTGAAGGCGGAGCTGTAGTCAGTAAGTAGGAGCCTTATGTAGATATCTTGTTATCCAGATGTTCCAGGGATGTGTGTAGGGCCAGGGAGATGGCATCTGCTGTGGACCTGATGCACTGATAGTGAATTGCAAAGGATCAAGGCAAATCTGGTAGGTTGGAGTTAATGTGAGCCATGACTAATCTCTTGAAGCACTTCGTAATTATGGAAGCCAGAGCCACTGGGTGGCAGTCATTGAGGCGTGCTGCATGATTTTTCTTTGGCACTGGAATGATGGTGGTATTGAAGCAGGTGGGGAACTTCAGATCATAGTGAGGAAGGTTAAAGATGTCTGTGAATACTCCTGCCAGCTGGTCCACACAGGATCTGAATGCACAGCCGGGGAGTCCATCCAGGCCAGTCACATTCTGTGGGTCAATTGCTCTTAGAATTCAGCTGATAATGTATCATTTTGACTCCATGACTATTATCTAATTTGGCCACATCTAAAAGCTCTAATAGTACAGATGGTACCTAGGTGATGCAACATATAACCAGTCATCTTTATTTGAACCCTCAGTGACCACAACAGCACTTGCATTTTCTTGATAAGGACATCTGCCTGCAGTGTTGTTTTTCTTAACAAAGTATAATCTTGGAAAGCAGTTAAATGCAGTTGCTAGGCTTCCTCAAGAGACTCATAAAGCAGTTCTGCATCCCTGTTACTATTTTATGTTTCAGTTTTTAACTGCACCATCTGTGAATTGAATGATTTTTTTTTTGGCAATTGTCTGATAACTTGTAGTAATATTGTGTGTATGCCAATGGATTATCTGCTTTCTAATCCGCTTTCCAGAATATGTGTGAGCATTTTTAGAAGTCTGTGCAGTTCAATATTATTGTCAATATTAAGCAACACATTTCAAAATAAAGCTCTTATTCACGTGTACAAGGTTAACTTTGGCAGCTTCCCCTGCCTGTTGCCTGGTATAGGGTTATTCTCATGGGTCAGTTAGCTTAGTTAGCTGAGTTGCGTTGCAGAGTGACATTGTGTGTTTCAATTCCCATGAGGCTGAAGGTCCTGCCATTTCAACCTTGCCCCTCACCTGAGGCATGGTGACCCTTAGGTTAAACCACCACCAGCTGTGTCTGTCTAATGAGAGATCAGCCCTTGGACTATACCGCCTTTCCTCCAAAATCCCAGGCACTAATGGCGTGCTTCGATGAATGATGGATGTTGGGCATTGGAAAATAGGACCATGGCAGAAAGTAGGTCTTTCAGGTTTGGACTGTTTGTAACTTAGTTCTGTCAGTAGAAGTACTATGCATATGCCTCCAGGGAAGTAGAACACCATCCCACATCTGCCTTTTATTATGGAGGTTAAAGCAGGGCACTTGAAAAATCTCAATGTAGTCAGGCAGAGTCGCTTTGGGTTTATGGAAAGGAAAACGTGTTTGATTAATTCGTTAGAATTCTTTGTGGAAGTACCAAGCAAGGTGAATAAAGTGGAACCTGTACCTGTGGGCTACTTGGATTTGCAGAAGGCAGTTGTCAAGTTGCCACATGAAAGGTTACTATCCAAAAAAAGCACTCATGGTGGAGAGGATAATATATTAATATGGATAGAGATCAGTTAGCCAACAGGAAACAGGAGATGTAAGTTGGCAATTTTTGGATCGGCAAGATGCAACAAGTGGGGTGTCACAGGTATCAATGCTGGGGCATCACGTATTTACAATTTGTATCACTGGCTTGGATGAAGGGGCTGAATATATGGTTGTTGAATTTGCTGACAGCAAAAAAGATTGGTAGGAAGTAAGTTGCTATACTAACGAGCTTTTTACTCTGACTGAACCTATACGACACAGCTTGTTCTCATGGTTGGGCTACCTTTTGGTGATACTGAAACCCATCACTAGGCAACAGCCTTGTCTCACGTCCTGAATTGTTCACCTCAAAATCATCTTAGAGTGATAGAGACAGCATAGAAAATGCTCCATTGTGCCTGCATCAGTCAAAAACGACCACCCTAACTATTCTAACTCCAAAGCTTTAAACCCTTATTAAAAATGCGTGCATCAAGAAACTTTCAGCCAAACAATGCCACTCAGAACTCTAAACTAAAAACCTAGAAAATAGAAGCAAAGATAGGCCATTTGGCCCATTGAGTCTGCTTTACTATTGAATATGATAATGGTAACCCTCTATCTCATCACCATACTGCTGCTGTCTCCTATATACTAACACCTTTAGTGTCTAGGTATCTATTTATTCATTCAATGACTTGGCTTCTACAGTCTTACATGATAAAGAATTCTACTTGGTTAACAAACAAAAGTAACAAAGTTAGATCCAAAGAAGGGATTATATTAATTGCTGGACAGAGTTGCAACTCGTCACCCTCAGAGAAGAAGTTTCTCCTCACCTCAGTCCCAAATGGCCTACCCCATATCCTGTGGCTATCGTTTGTTCTAGATCTCCCACAATAGGAAACATTATCTCTGCATCTAGTCTGTCCAGCGCTGTCAGACTCTCTCAAAATTAGATAAGATCTCCTCCCATTCTTTCAAAGCAGGGAGTCGAGGCCCAGTTGACCCAATTTCTCTCCACAGAATAATCCTTTGTCCCAGGACTCAATCTAGTGAACCTTTGCTGCATTCCCTGTGACAGTTAAACCTTTCTTCGATAAGGAGATTAAATCTGCATGCAGCCCTCTAGGTATGGTCTCACCAAGGCACTGTACACGTACAGCAAGGTTCTTGACTCCAACCCTCTTGCCATATAGGCCAAAATACTATTTACTTTCCTAATTGTTGCACCTGCATGCCTGCTTTCAGTGACCGGTGTAGAAGGATAACCAGGTCCTTTTAGGCGTCAATCATTCCCCCAATTTATCACCATTTAAAAAATACACTCCCATTCTGTTTTCTCCTGCAGAAGTGAGTAACTTCACATTTACAACATTATACTGCATCTGCCTTGTATTCTCCTACTCAGTCCACTTACCTAAAACACCTTGAAGCCTGTTTACATCCTCCTCACCGCTCTCAATTTCTTCACCATTTGTGTCATCAGCAAAGTTCAAAATACTCAATTTGATTCCCTTATCCAAATCATTGATATGGGGTCATAGAATCTGGAATGAAGAGTCTAATGATGACCATGAATCCATTATTGATTGTCAGAAAAAGCCATCTGGCTCACTAATATCCTTTAGGGAAGGAAACTGCCATCCTTACCTGGTCTCCATTGCATGTGACTCCAGACCCATAGCAATGTGGTTGACTCTTAACTCCCCTCTGGGCAATTAGGAATTGGCAATAAATGCTGCCTAGCCACCGATGCCCTCATCCCGTAAATGAATAAAGAGGGAATAAAGTTATACAGCACAGAAACAAGACCCTTCAGTCGAACTTATTTGTGCCAACCAGACATCCCAAGCTGACTTAGTCACATTGGCCAGCGTTTGGCCCATATCCCTCTTAACTGCTTCCTGTTCATAAACTCATCCAGGTGCTTTTTAAATGTTGTAATTGTAGATGCCTCCTCCACTGCCTCTGGCAGTTCGTTCCATAAACGCATTACCCTCTGCGTGAAAAAGTTAGATTTGGGGTCCTTTTTTAAATCTTTCCCCTCTCACCTTAAACATATGCCCTCTAGTTTTGGACTCCCCCACCCTAGAAGAAAAACTTTGGCCATTCACCCTAGCTATGCCCCTCATGATTTTATACACCTCTATATGGTCACTCCTCAGCCTCTGATGCACCAGGGAAAACATCCTCAGCCTGTTCAGCTTCTCCCTATAGCTGAAACTTTCCAGTCCCAGCAACATCCTTGTAAATCTTTTCTGCACCTTATCACACTAAAACAACATCTTTCCTATAGAAGGGCGACCGAAATTGTATGCAGTATTCTAAAAATGGCCTCGCCACAGCCACAACATAACATCCCAACTCCTATACTCAATGTTCTGACCAATGAAGGCAAGCATGCCAAATGCCTTCTTCACCACTCTGTCTACCTGTGACTCCACTTTCGAGGAACTATGCACCTGCACCCCTAGGTCTCTCTGTTTGGCAACACTCCCGGGGCCGTGCCGTTTACTGTATAAGTCCTGCCCAGGTTTGCCGTATCAAAATGCAACACCTCGCATTTATCTAAATTAAACTCCATCTGTCAGTACTCTGCTTATCTGATCAAGATCCCATTATACTCTGGGATAATCGTCTTCACTGTCCACTATACCACCTATTTGGTATCATCTGCAAACTTACTAACCATACCTCCTATATTCACATTCATATCATT